GGCCGAATTTAATTGACGTATCCGGCACAATGGAGGATAAGGAAACCAGTGGGGAGTGTGAATAGCCCTTGATAAATCCGCTTAAGAAGATACATTCCTGGAATAGATTAAAATTAGCAAGTTTGAAGCTTCTTTAGTCAGGGAGTCAATACGAGGATATGAGTCTAGTATACTAGGACAGGAGGAGAGATACCACAATTGTTTAGCATAAACTTTACGTGTCTCTTTGACTGGTTTACTATGGGGCTAAGGCTGTCAAGGTTCACCGACGTTGCCGAATGCGGTGCCGTAGAAAGATCTCGGTCTTCATAGCCTTGCTAACAAAGTAAAATTAAAACCCAAATCAAGACTTCTCTTTAATCCTTTTTTCCAAAGTCTCTACAGTCCTATAAAACCATTATAAATGTTTGCGTATAAGCAATCACTCTACTTATAGCTGTTAAAAACTTGATTACTAATAAAACTATATGCCTTGAATGTTCTGGCCGCTCGCACTCAGAACGAATGCCACCGGAAAGCTTAGAAGACTTTGACGTCCAACTGGAGCAATCACAAACTGATCTGATGGCAGCAAATCAACGACTTAACAACAATGCCGTCATTATCTACTCTCCAAAAGATAGAAAAGAAGCCAAAGAAGTGCCTACCGAGCAGAATAAATCAGAAACATGTAGTGAAACTCTGATTACACCTGAGAGACTGGCTCTCGACTTGGCCAATCGAGATCTCACTATGTATGTTCATAAACAAATTTAACATTAAATTTTGCCTCAAAAAAGGTTAATAAGTACATTTTAGTATATAAAATGTTATCCTAAATTTATTTAGCGATTTTTGGTACATTTTCCATAATTTAATTAATACAATCATGATTTTAATGAATCACTTGCTAATTTAGAGTAGTTCAGCCTTTCGTTTTATTCCATATTAGGTGAGAGCTCTGCCATACTGTATTATCTCTTGGTAGAAAGCCATAATGAAAGTTAATGGAAGAGATAAATGCGGTCATGATTTAACAGATAATGTATTAAAATTCAATGGACGAACAAGGCATGATAAATGGACTGGCCAACGTCTAGAGGGTTTCTTCCTCCGAGGTGTATCACTTTCATATATTCTGAGTATTGAAATTCCTGGTTGGCCATGATTGAGCATAATTTTATTTCACATACAATCGTAAGACGAAGCGATTCATGGACCTATCTCACCCGAATTAGACATATACTTTCACTTGGATTCCTAAATCAGGTCAATATTTAAGGCAATCAAGGAAGCAACAAACAGCATTTTTGTTGAAGGTAGAACATACAAAATTCCGAGTTCCTACCTCAGAATATACTAACTTGTTAGGAAAGAGAAGTCCCCACTGATTAGAAGTAGTAATAAGGACTAGGCTTTGCGGCACTGACACTTTCTACAATTATTCTATTGTAAAAAGTACTCTCAAGTGTTATCCAAATTGTATTTTAACAAATTAATCACCTTCGCACTAATAGACCTGAAAAACCAACTGTATTCATTGTAATAGGATTGCAGAGTATATGGAAATAAGAGGATACGAACTATTCGGATTATTTTCGTTTAGTTATACTGACTAAAATATTCCCTACTTTAAGCATATTATGAGAATAGCCAGTAAAATCATCAGCTAGATATATAAGAGTAGATTTCTTGCTTGAGCTTGATTGCATTGTCTCTATATAATTCGAAAAATTTATATTGTACCATTTCCTATCTCATTCAAGACATATTATTTTAGCATCTAATCTGCTATCAGGCACACTCTACATGTATCCATCACTGTAAAGATCCATTTTTAACACCGAATCCCAACGCTTTTTCCATTTCAGACATTTACGGATATCAATTGCATAATTAACGTCATCTTAGCCTAAAAAATTTAAACCATTATTATTTCGTTAATTTTTGACATTGAAAAAATAAATATATACAAAGAAAAAGCGAGTTTCGACGAATCTCATGAAATAAATTGTTGTTAAGACTTTCATTTCGTATCAAAGTGCGTGATAAAGAGATTCGTAATTCAATCTTACCAGAAGAGGACAGCTGATTCTCGTTATATTGCAGTCGTCTGGCTTTAATACAACATTCAGTTTCACGCAGCAAACGAGACATCCTCCCTGGTTTCAGGTTTAAACGGGCAGGGCTTTCGCTAGCCATGACGAACATCATCAAAGCTGGGACTCGTTTTTGCAAGTCCTAAGTTTCCATTAAATCAGGAAGACTGATCGGCTCTTTAAGACATGATGTATATACTTATAACGTATACACACACACATACACTCTAGTATAGATAAATTGACCAAACCTTTATATATCCATCGATATCTAAATTTAATCAGGTTATTACTACATATATATATATATATATATATACCTTCTTACTCAAAGGTATGAAGACCA